AGTTGACTTTGTTAGACGGACACCTTTCGTGCCCATGATTACGTCAAAAAAGCTTGCATGAGTCTACTTTGCATTAATTTCTTTTTTGTTCCGCGATAATCGCTTGTGAGCAGGTGGGCGGAGACTCATTGCCACCTCACTGGCACCCCGTACTTTTGATGTGGCAGAAGAAGGAAGAGCGCGCCAAAATAGACAGTGGTTTTGGGTCTCCGCCCACCCAATTGACGCGGAATGTATTCTCTGCTACGCTTTTTTGACTTTTTCTCCGCGTCCACCATTTTTACTCAGTCCCCCTACATACCATTCCAGGCGATATCAACGACAATTCACCCAGCTGGACTCACAGCCACATGCATATCACCCTGAATCGATCAATATCCGAATCGGATCAAACCATGGTGTTAACAGCCACCGATCCTGATCAGGGAATGAATGGCCGTGTCCGATACAGTATCCTCGACACGGATGTCTTAGCTATTGATCCCGATACTGGTCGACTGAGTCCGCTCAAGGAGGTTAGCCCTTATCTGACGGTCAGACTTGAACGGATCAAACTCACTTCCCGGTTTCAGCTTGACTGTTCCCTTGGCTCAGAAATTCGCTTCAAAGTTCGAGCTACTGACGGTGGTGTGCCCAGTTTATACTCAGGTGAATTTACTACAAGTGTTTTTAGTTACAGTACCAGTCAGGCAAGGACTGTTTGCAGATTTGCAAGTAACAGCTGATCTCGTTGACGGTTACGGTAGGCCGCCACAGTTCGAAAAATCGCTCTATGAGGTACAGATCGCCGAGGATAGCGAGATTGGCACTTGTTTGCTGAAGGTAACAGTTGTGATGGGTTTGATGCGTTACCGTACTTGTCATACTGTATTTACACTTGCACTGGCAGCTTCATGATACGCAGCTGACAGGTCTCATGGGTCTGTTTGCATACACTCCTGAGAAGATGTTTGCTTGGCCAAATGCCAGTGACAGACCTTGAAGGGTCAGATCGAGGGGCTAAAT